ACCAGGACACCTAGACCTATAAAACAAGGTTATCAACGATCTCAAGCACCTTCCTCCCCAATGCGCTCACGACTTACAACAAAGGATAGGTGGCTGCTAGCCCAGATTGTTACATTGTGCAGTTGGTAATAATAATAGCTTTATTTTGAAAGCTACGTCTGGAATACTCTGCAGAATTTTCGGCAGGTCATATAGCAGCGGTCGGATAGAGACAGTAAATATGTATACATAATAGAGTGAACATAAGTAGAAGTTACATAAGGAAGAGAAAAAATATTCACTGTGTCTACAACTTTCTTCAAAATGCACGGTCAGTCTAGGTGTACAATCACATTAGCAATTCGGTTCATCATACGTAAAAGGTAACACAGTCATTTTCAGTTAGTTTGCCTTCAAACATAGAAGTTGATTTGTTAGTTTCTAAATAACTGCTGCCGGATGTTTACACAAGTTAATATGTTCGTCTACAACAGTTTTAACCAAAAGGTCAAAGGGTAAACCACTAGTTTTGCGACAGTCTTCAAAGCTCTACGCAGTGTAGCATAGTCTTTTTTCAGCAACCCAGAAAAAAACAGAAGGGGCAATAGAGGAGGACAGGCAAGACTCAGGAGTTTATAAAACATAAGAGAAGAGGCTGAGTAATGCCAGATACCCTCAGCTTCCTAATGTAGGAAGTTAGGCGAAAAAAATCTTCTGGAAGTTAGTGGGATCTGAGAAGACAGGGAAGGGTCTGAAGAAAAACACACCAAGATGAATCACATTTGTAACATTCTCCAATACGCGACTATCAATATGACAGGAATCATGAAAATTAAGCAGTTTACACAATTCGTGTTCACGTCAGAGAAATAGGAATGCAGCCAGCTGATCATCCAGGAGTCCTTGTTCGTCCTGGTAAGCCTGTCCAGTGAGAGGTCCTGGGAAAGAGTCAAGTGACGAAGTATAGTATAAAAAAGCACGCAGGGCATACCTGGCATTTTTATCAAGACTAAGTAATATCGTGATATAAGAGAGTGATGGCATCCAAAGTGCTTTTTCTGCTCTTATTCGCAAATCGATTAGAATCTGCGAGAGCCTTCAGTGTGGGCTTGGCCATAAGTACCATAAGCTTCTCCGTTATTTTTAGGGACGGAGATGTAACCACGATCGGACGGTATTTCTTACACGCAACATGCACCTAGAGTCCTAGACTTAGGTACAGGGACTGTCTTAATATCTTTCCAGGCAGCCGGTGGTGTTCTTTCAAAAACGATCTGTTGGACATGTTGGCTAATGGGTAGCATAAAACATCAGCATCTTTCTTGAGCACGAAGCTTAGCATACCATCGGGACCTGGACTGTGAGAAGCGTCTAGGATTTGAGACGTTTGAAAATATCGTTCGCGCTGAGCTGTGAATAACTTTCTTCACTTGGCAAAGTTAGACGTAGTGGGGGTGAACGAGTCGGTTGGTGTCAAAATGATCCGTTCAAGGCACAGACATCGACATAAGGCTCTTTGCTAGGGTGTTTACTTCCGGTGAGGTCTTTAAAAAGTTTCCACATGCTGGAAAAACGTCGCATGACAAAAGTTTCTGGTTGCATGGTAGACACAGACGCTTAATTTCCTACCCAGTTAAAAAGTTCAATAGATGAGCACCAGCATTATGACCCAACATATATAGTCATTCTTTTTCTCTTCTCAGTTGCTTGGGCTGAGTTGAGGATATACGATAGAAGCGTAGAAAAAGCCTTTCACTAGGGCAACGTATATCTGGGCAGAACCTGAGATAGCACGTTACACCATCAATAGTGTTATTCAAGTCATCGCTGTCACATAAATTCCAGTCTGTACCCTGATGCACTTCTCTTGGATCAAATATGTTACTAAATGAATAGTTTCTGTGTACAGTCTTCTTAATTGTGAAAACTGTTTTGTGAAGTTCGCCAAATACTTCGGGCAAAATAAGTATAATACAATGATCTGAACTGAGCAGTCGGGATCTCTTTCGAGCTTCGTATACACTGGTATCATTGACGAATACCAAGTCGTATTGCATCCTGGCCTGTTGTGAAGCTAACAATGTTTGATGACCAAGAGTTTTGCGAAGGCCCTGGTCACAGAGGTTGAAACTGCCACGTGTTATCGACAGGGAACCATGGAGTGTGGGGGCCGCGAACCCCGCGGATATATCAGAGAATCTGGATGGTTCGGAGAAACTGCGCCCGGGTGTCACATAAATGTTTGTTGTATAAATGAAGCGATATTTTTCAAATGTTTTGGGCGGTATTTTACGGTGGTGCAATCTATGTGGTCACTAGAGAATTTGAAGCAAATGTAACTCGAAATGCACCAATGGGTATGGGTGAAGGCACCTACTCCACCCCCACTTTTCCTAGTAGGGCTACATCAGTCCTGACAGAAAATTTTGAAATCATTCGGAGAAATCAAGTTGCAGTCATACAGTTCAATTAACCAAGTTTCTTGCAGGGTAGTTACTCCAGTATCACAGTATTACACTGGATGACGAAAGAGATTGTGAGTAATCCATTTTTCCCTGCAGCGACCCGCAGTTCGTGCTTATAATTTCAGGCAGTCATCTAAGACAAGGTTATTTGCTTCAAAGCTCGTCGTCATCCGCCATGATGCTTTTTCTTGTCTTGTGTGGTATTGACGTCTCAGAAGGCGGGAAGCTCTTTAAAAATATGCGTGAAAATATGACGCGATCAACGGAAAAAATAATAGAATGACTAAAACGAAACAATCCGCTGAAAATTTGATGACAGATGGAAAATTTAGTAGTCCAGATATTCAAGCGGGTCGCTCAAAGTACAAAGCATTCCCTTTCGGCCTACTAACAAGCAGCGTAACCCAAGAACTTGTAAGAACTTTACGTGCGAAAAACAGAAGAGTTATTTATATTTGCACCAATTTAAATGTAGTTCAAATGAGTCTAAAAGATGAAAACTCTTCGCTCCCCAATCAATTTCATGCAGTGTGTCATTCTCTTGTTTCTGTTCGTGTTTTCTTGTATTCCTTCTTCAGCATCAACTTGAAGAGAGAACGTTGGACATAATTTTGATCAGAAAATATCAGCCTACCGAGAGCATTTTTGGCGCATGTTTTAAAAAATTGTCAAAAGAGTTCTTCAGCTGGTTTGGTCCGAACGTTTCCCGATTTTCTGAAAAGACTCACGACGAACTCACCTGCTCTCCAATGCCTTCAGTACCACCTTATGCGAGACCCCGACCACAGTAATATATCTAAGATTTTTGGACAGTCATAATAGCAGCGAAAATCCGGAAAAACAATCAAGTCATAGAGATCAACCTACATAGTGGCTCTAAAGGCAAAGCATCGGCAAAAATGATACCCGACAGATTTACGCAGCACTTTGTCTCATTTGATTTCATCTGACTGGCAATTAACAGCGAATATGCCTCTTTGAGGGGTCTGTGCATTTCGATATGAATCCCGTGTGGTACCCATCAACACTGAACTACAGCTCCTCCAATGTTCATTTGTTTGCATCACAAGTACTATTGCTAATAGCACAACTTTATATAGATGTAAACAGTTGTATTTGAAGAGTGGGAGTCGTTTGAACTTAAATATTTACCTGGGTTAAATGGTTGTGCTGACGATTGCTGATTCACGAAGCTTTTGAATTTTTTCGTAAACTTATGAACTGGTGTTAAAAAGAACGATTATTTGGCCAAACGAGGAATTATACTTCGGCTGTTTCTTATGCAAACATGGAATATTCAGCTACCTTAATGTCACCTACAGGTCGACAATGATCTAAACCCATAAGCACTGTATACTTATTGCAAGCGATATTTTCGTCTCCGTTTCACAACTTTCTAACACTTGATTCTGTGATAGGGCGTATTATCCTGCTTTCTGTTTTACCAAGGACCCTCCAGAGATTAGAGATTTCTTGAGCATCATCGATTTGATAGTGTCTGCAAACTAGCCTCTCTCATGTTATATTTACAATCTGAAGATCGGATATCGGTCAATTTCTACACTTCTTTGGCTTTGTAGTCTGCTTTCGCATACGGAGCTTATCTCCATCGAATTTGAGAATACAGCCGCTAACATCTTACTTTCCAGGCCTTCCATAAGTCTAAACTCACTTCAGTCAGTTTCAGTGGTGGTAACTGTTGTAAACTTGCATCACATCTTATGGGAAAGTTAGCGTCCACCGGACATTTTTAAGTGACTGTTTCTTCAATGTCTTCGGTCTTCCTTCGGTCATCGCTTGTCAGGCTTCTTTACGAAGACAAATAATGAAGCGATCTGTTTGTATGTTGGAAGTTAATCGCATTCTTTCATTCGTTTGGATATTTCGGTTGGTGCTATCATTCAGGTAATTTGATTCATGAGTACTTCAAGGGACCGCTTTATCTGATCTATTATAGTTAACTTCGCCGCCATGATTTACCTGGGCAGTAGATTGAGATGGCAAAAGGTTATTTCCACTCATAATTTGCAATCACCTTCAACCTCAAAACTTCAGAACATTAGGTAATTTCATGAGGATTTCGTCTGACTCAGTTATAAGTCTTGTGTCAGGGCAAAGGCAGTGTGTTTATTTCCGTACCCGAGATGCGCGCTGGCTCGCGACAGCATTTGGCATCTGGCTAACCCATCATATTGCCTAAAAACTACAGACCAAACATGATCTGAAGAGGAAAGCTAGCAGCAAGTTAGCGACAAATCACACAAGTGCTTGCGCTATTAAGAACCAATGTTCAACATCCAACATCCAATACTGATAGTGCGAGCGTAGAAAACTGGTAGTTTTTGATCTGTTGTGTCTAGTTCTTTGTGCTTGGTTCCAGTTATTCGGTTCTTTAAAACAATCTCCGTATATCTACCCAGTCGTCACGAACTCACAGGTAAGCCGCTTTATTTTGTTCCTCTTTTCTGTTTTGAAATAAACAATCTTTACAGATCCAGTGTTAAAGTGCACTAGTCTTGAAACAGTTGTTTATTCTATCCTTGGCGAAAATTCAAAATGCCGGTCCGGAAAGGTAATTTTGTATGACTTGTGGGTATTTTTTGTTCATAACACAGATTGTAGTAGAGCTCTCCATATTCTGACTAAGTACAGAAATAACCTTGGTGAGAATAGTGACAAATCTTTTCGAAATGCAGTTGAAAAGTTGACGAATACTCTTGAAAGTCAACTCTTTTCATCGCTAATGGGTAACACAGAATGAACTTTCATCTTCTTTCTGAAGATATTTTAGAAGCATATGAATTGGCATTAACAGGCGACAACAAAGAGTTTTCTAGTGAACAAGTGACAGATCATTTGGTGAGAAATTAAATATATCTAATAAGGCTCATGCATAGTTTTGTGAACACTGGGTATACAGTTTTTTCTTGTTTTCCACTAATTTGTTCAAAAACCTACTTTCCCACTGAAACTGTTGACCTGAAGGGCTCGCGATATTTATTTTGGCACGAATTTCTCTTATCTACTGCTTGTTATGCAACTGAGTCAGCTTTCATGCTCCTAAGAGTTCGGGAGCTCTCGACAACCTCTTAGGTCATTATTCCAAAAAGGAGTTAACGAAGACCATACCTAAGCTAAATGTTTTGTCATTGTTATGAAGTCTTTAAGAAGAGCTGATTTTTAAAGATTAAGGAAAAAGACATTTTGCCACTCCGAAAGCCGTCATATGAGCGGTGGAAAAACTTTTTATGTACTCAGTAGCTCCACACTTTGGAGTATATTCGGTGTCTATGTCGATCGGAAGTCAGTCACCTAGGTGCATTTCTTGTGAATCAGTTAGTACAATTTTCAAAAATAGTACTCAAAATGTGATACTATCAAGCTTTAAAGGCTATAGTTAATGAAACTGAAGAAGTCTGCCGTCCTCCGAGGACTTTGAAATGACATGTAATGCACTGATGGGGAAACTTTTATTTTCTACGGTCTCTAATACAGAATCAAAAGGAAATAAAAGTAGATATAGTGTTTATGTTGTTTAGGAACTCATTTAAGCTTTTGACTACCTCTTTCTGCTTAAATTAGAAGTGTTTACGATACAGACATTTATCTGTGTGACTGCAGGACATGAGACTTCCTGAACTGTAATATGGTTATAAACTCACCCCCTATTTTTTTAATCTTCTCTATTATATTCGTATGAATTTCTGTAAAAGGGTTCAAGAACTAGGCTTTGATAAGTAAAAGTAAACACCAGGTTCTTGAGTTTATGCATTAACTATAGACTTATAGATTTTAAGGTACTGATTAGATCATTAGACAGCAAACAAGTAGCGAATAGATCTTCTTTTCAGCCTTGCTATTGCTAACTTACTTGGAATTAACTGGTCGGGTTTGAGTGTTAAAGACAAAGTTTGTGGTTAGGTTTTTAGGTGCAAACTTCCTGTTCATACTTTTGTCCTTTGTGTGTGTGGCAATGGGATTATTTGAGAAATAATCCCAGCTTTCATCAAAATTATCACCATCAGAATCCTGCATAAACCCGTTTTTAATAACCTACATTCTTTCTAAAGCTCGAGGCTTCCCAAAATAACTAAATAGTCACTTTCAAAGTGATTGGTCACTTCAAAGTTATTTGATAGTCACACGAGGAAAGCGAATTCCCATAGTTCCCCCACGATATATATTTCTTGCTGCTGCATTTTAGTAGAAATTCATCTTCATACAGTGTCTCTTGATTACATCAACCTAAGCTGAGGCTCAAATAATTGACATATGGTTGAAGTTACGTTGATAAAACCACTGCATTTGGTATGCATTTCTGTACGTTCACGTTGAAGTAGTTTATTAACGCCAACAGTTTGACTGTTTGATCATGTCAATCAAGTCAATTCATATTGTTGATTATCTGCAGATGTTGGGATCATAGGGAAGTAATAAATCCGTAGATCCAACTGCATATAATAATCCTTCAACAATGAGTAGGGACAATAAGAGATCGAAGATCGGTTGGTAGAAAGCCTTAAGCCTCCTAGTTTTTCTCTTCCGCATCATATGATTAATCTTTACTGTATATCTCCTGTACTACAGCAAGTATAAAACGCAGGCATAAATACTCGTTACTAGACTGGCGAAGGGATAGTCTGATTTTATTTTCCTCGAAAGTAAAATTGTCTATGATACCGTTTCAGTACTTTAATAATAAAGTTAGCGAAAGATATGTGTTGAATAATTCAGTGGAAGCCTCGAAACGATCTTTGTAAAAACAGTATTCTTGGATGTAGTTTGTAAGGATTTTCTGGACTTAATGTCACTAGTCATTCAGAAAACTACTAAATTGTTTTACCGTCTTTATAATTGTCGTTCCACGTGTTTGTAGTTTTTGTATTCAAAGAAAGTCTGTTTTTAGGCTACTCAATATAGGACCAATGTGTAAAGCTGTATCTCAACAAAACTGTCTCAATCCCCTACAAGTGGTATGTATAGCAAGAATTTCAACCGCTGTTGAATGATGTACTATCAGGAAGTTTTGACATACATTTACAACGAAGTAATATTTTGTAAAGCAAACACAATTCATTACGTGTAAAATTCCCCTCCAAGATCGTGTCAACGGTTAGAATTTTAAGTCTATCGATGTTTTTTTATAATATTTTTGTTTTTCCAGAATATTCACCTGAGCGGGTCAGCTATTACTCCCGACAACCAGTCTGTTGTGAAGCAGTTGAGTCCCGGTACGTTGGTTTACTTATTTATTTACTTATTTAAGTTTTCAGAAATAACCAGCCATCTTACAAGTAATAAAAATTTTTGGCAATGTTTTTTAGATGGAGGAGAAAACTATCTTTGTTGTTTAGATTCCTTCGACTTGAACGTTGTTCTTACATAATTTATAAACTGTGGCGCATATAAAATGTGCTTGGCAGTTTGAAAGGTCCCCATTCTCAGTTAATGAATGAAAAAAGACAACCTTAAATATTATTGTCGATTTCTGTGAATACTCAGTCATACTGTAAAACCAAATATGTTAGGCTAAACTGTCGAGAAGGCTACTGAATTTTGCTATTACTTAAACACTCCAATTGAAGGTATCAACCAAATGTAACCGGTCTACATAATTTATGTTGAATGCAGTTAAACCGTATGTGTTAAATATCTAGTCGAAGAGTTCTTGAGCATTGTTTTTTTGGAAAACAGATTAACAAATACTCTTTCTGAAGTGAAGTTACTATCTTGTGATACAAAGTACAACCGTTACTCCTAAGACTGAGCAAATAATTAACAGAAAGCTCTATGATAGAAAACAATATCGTAATAAAAAGGTTATTTTGATTTATGAATTTATTTTTATTAAAATGTTCATTTCAAGTGCTTTCAAATAGGTATCCTGTTGACTTACTGAAATAAATCTATCATTCAGATTTCCATTTCGCGATAATCTTTAAGAGTTTTACTGAATGGATAATAGACAACAGTTACTTCATCACCGCAACACTACCTGTCAAATAAACCAATAGTAGCCCAAACTTGGATTGTTGGAATCCTGTCGCAATACTCTGTTTTGCTTGAATTTAGATGATCATTGATAGTTGTTTGGACAACTGTGTCTGACGGGAATATGTTCTACACCTTAAATAGCCTGTTACACATCGATATTTATGAAAGTGTTCAAAGTAATTTATATTTGAATGAAGCGGATATCAAGTGTACAGAAGCAGTTTCTTTCAAAACTGATAAGCTTTGAATTAGAATCATATATTGAATGTTTAGATTGCTTGTAACAATTAAAAGATGAATTTCACTTAGTATTTGAGGGGAACAGATCATATCAACCAAAATTCTGCAGCGCCGAGTAGCTGTCAGACATGGTAGTAATATCAGATGACCCTTAGTAATGATCACTATATGCATTTCGATGGTTTTAAGAGATGATAAAAGCTTCCGATATTCGTATCATCCTACCGGTCTCACAAAATAATACTGATCAGTATGGATTAGTTATTTGATAAAGAAAAAAAAACCAGCTAATAAATTTGTTTTCGTACACATAAGGATGGTTTCAATTTGTGAATGCCTATCGCTTCCACAGATCTCATTGTGCGTCCCTGACTGTTACTAAATATAACTTTGAAAGCTGTTTGGACATCAATTTTGTCACCTCTTTCTATAATATGTTTAGCTACAGATGAAGAGGGTCGTCTCGCTCCGGCGTTTATCAAGGTTTCACAATCCATTTATTTTTGAAACCATTTAGGTACATATTCTCCCACCTCGTGTGTGTGCTCACACATACATAGGGATTAGTAATCAAGCCATGCAGCTGATTATGGAGAACATGTACGTAATGGCTTCACAAACAAACGGTAAACGCTGGTGGGAGATGACTCTCTTCATCTGTAGCTAAACATAACATAGGAACAGGTCACAAAGTTAATGTTCAAACAGCTTTCAAAGTTATATTTAGCAACAGTCAGGGACGCACAGTGAGATCTGTGGAAGCGACAAATATACACAAACTGAAACCACCTTTATGTGTACGAAAACAAGTTTGTTCTTACACTGCCTTACTGACTTGGTAAACTTTGTTTCCTCACCAAAATTTGTTTTCAGCGACATCCTCTTCTCTAGGCGTACAACCGTATTCAAATTATTAATTGGTATACACATTTAATGTGAGCATTTGTCAGTCAATAATTCTAAGTAGGTTGTGACCATGGCAATAATTAAAGAAAGTCATATAAGAGATCTGGCAATATTTAACAAACATGAATGACTGTGTGAGTTGAAATCAAAAGTTGAAGAATCCACTACAAAGTGAGTGAACAGTTGACAGTGTACAAAAACGTAAAAAATCCGTAACTGAGCTAAAAACGTTTACATAATAACTACATGAGACAAAAAGGTTGATTTGATTTGAGAATTGGAAAGTTTTAAAACTAGCACAGTAATTTAGGATAGTGAATGACAAAACTGCTTGTAGATACGCAATTCTGGTTTCAATTTTCGTATTGCCAAGGCTTTATAAATGCAAAGTAGGTGGTTTGTGACACCCTTCGCAGACTACTGCAAACGAATCTGCTGGAGCTGTGTGTTGAGTACCAACTAAATTGATATGGGGATAGAGAGAAAAGACTAGTCTAAAGAGGGAACAAACCTCGCCTGGTTAACTAGTTCACTAGTTACTAGCCGGTCCTAAGCCCGGGTAAACAGGGAAGGTTGGGCATAGGGCTAGCAACCCTACCCCGTAAAACAAATCTAACCGCTATACAAACTTCAAAGCACAAACAAAATATAAAAAATGAAAACAAACTTATTCCCCGCTGGAATCGGAGAGGCGAAATGACGCCAGTTGGTGAAAGCCTTCGGGAAGCCAATTGGCCGATGTGTCTTCTCTCGATGAAAGCGAAAGTAAACGTGGGGACATGGAATGTCCGCACGATGTTTGAACCCAGTAAGGCAGCCCAGATTGCAAAGGAGATGAGAAGGTATAACATCGAAGTGCTTGGGATTTGCGAAAGCAGATGGAATAGAAGTGGGCTCTCCAAACTGTCAACTGGAGAATCAATAATCTACTCCGATGTTGTCACCCAGACGCCAACCACGAGCACACTGAGGGAGTGGCTATCATGATGTCCTCAAGAGCATCGAAGGCTCTCATGCAGTGGGAACCAATCTCCTCCAGGATCATGACAGCAAGATTCAACTCAAAAGGAAGGAAGGTCACAATCATACAATGTTATGCACCTACAAATAATGCAGAGCAAGAGAAAAAGGAGGATTTCTACAGACAACTTCAATCAACACTGGACAAGACGTCAGTTGGCGATATCAAAATTCTGATGGGCGACATGAATGCCAAACTGGGAGGGGACAACACGGGAAGAGAACTAACCATGGGTCGAGAGGCGCTAGGTGAAATGAATGAGAATGGAGAATTGTTTGCAGAATTCTGCGCATTCAACGATTTGGTGATTGGAGGCAGTGTGTTCAAGCACAAGGATATCCACAAAGCGACATGGATTTCACCAGATGGACACACTAAAAATCAAATCGACTTTATCTCAATCTGAAGAAAATGGAGACGCAGTCTACTTAACACAAGGTCAAGAAGAGGAGCAGATGTAGGTTCAGACCACTCACTTCTAGTGCAAGGAACCTTCCAAATCAAGTTAAAAGCCTTCAAGGAAGCTGGTGATAGACCTCAATTCAAGTACAACACTGGGAAACTGAAGGATGAAACTACAAAGGAGATCTTCACGGCAGCCATCAAGACAAAATGGGAGACATCGAGCAACATCCCTGAAGATACCTGTGTGGAAGAACACTGGAAGTCTTTGAAAGCTATGTGGAAAGAAACCTGCACAACAGTATTACGAAGGAAGAAGAAAGAAGATAAGGAATGGATCTCGACGGATACCTGGAAGCTGATAGAGGAGAGGAGGATGGTGAAGCAGAAGATAAACCAGTGCAAGGATGCTCAACGACAAGAGGAACTGAGCACAATGTATAAAGCACTGGACAAAGAAGTGAAGAAGAGTGCACGCAAAGACAAAAGACACTTCTACGAAACACTGGCAAGTGAAGCAGAACAGGCTGCAGGTAAGAGAGACCTGACGACATTGTATCAAATAACCAGGTTGCTATCAGGGAAGAGACCAACACTGATGAAACCAATAAAAGATGAAGAAGGAAATTTAACTACGAAAGAAGAGAAACAAAGGAAACGATGGGCCGACCACTTCAAGAAGCTCTTGAATCGACCAACACCACCACCTGCACTTCGTCCAGAAATACCACCTGCAGCCGCTGAACTACAAGTGAACATTAATCCCCCAACGAAAATGGAAGTCCTGAACGCCATAAAGCTACTGAAATGCGGGAAAGCAGCAGGACCAGATGGAATACCGCCAGAAGCACTGAGAACAGATGCAGAGACAACAGCGGACATGCTCACACCACTATTGCAGAAGGTGTGGAAGGAAGTGAAGGTACCTGACGATTGGAAGAAGGGTTACCTTGTCAAACTGCCGAAGAAGGGAGACCTGAGTGCTTGCAAGAACTGGCACGGAATCACTCTCCTGTCCACCCCAAGTAAAATATTAAGCCGCATCATCTTGGAGAGGCTCCAAGATGCACTGGATTCAAAACTGCGACCGGAAGAGGCAGGCTTCAGGAAGTACAAATCATGTGCAGACCAAATTGCAACGCTTCGCATCATCATAGAACAGAGCATAGAATGGCAATCAGCTCTCTACCTCAACTTCATCGACTTTGAGAAGGCCTTTGACAGCGTCGACCGAGAAGTAATTTGGAAACTGCTTCAATACTACGGAGTACCGCAAACCTTTATCCGCCTCATTCAACAACTATATGAAGATGCCACATGCCAAGTAATCCACAGTGGAAAGCTCAGTGATGCTTTTGAAGTGAAGACAGGAGTGAAACAAGGTTGCCTACTATCACCCATGATATTCTTTATTGTGGTGGACTGGATCATGCAGCAAACAGTAGGCAGCGAGAAGAGGGGGACACGCTGGACCGCGGAAAAGAACCTAGAAGACTTGGATTTCGCCGATGACTTGTGCCTAATGTCACATAAACTTGAAGATCTGCAGGCAAAAACTAACAAGTTGATAGAAGAGGCAGCTAAGACGGGACTTCAGGTGAATATAGAGAAGACAGAAGTGATGAAGATACCGCACCACCACCATCAACAACAACAACAAACTCCAAA